CTTTTCCACTGACAGCAGCCACCTTAGTACCCTTAAGATCCTTAGACAGATTATCGGCGTGGGAATGAAGCCGCCCTCCAAGATGCAAACCAAAGAAAAAGGTCAAATCGTTTCATTTAAGTTTTACATGCTATTATCCTTGCACGCACATCGGTTTGTAATCGTTCGGACAAGCAAATATCCCACTCTTCCATAAGAACTGCATAGTTCTCAAGGATTCGTCGAAAACAACTGGCTCTAACCGTCCACCTTTTAGGGAAAAGTCCAATAATTCTACGATAACTTTTTCCAGGTCAACTAGAGCCCTAGAAAATAAATCCCAGCAAAAAAGTGGTAGGGCTATAGCCCCACCAGCCCCTCCCCCTCCGCGGTCCCTGAACTAAGGAACCGGTTTACAGCCAAAACTGCCTGCAATAGAGTCAGCCATCTTGTGTCCTCTAAGCCTCGCTTACATACGACTACCTAGTTCTCAGGAGTGCGCGGTCAAAAATATCGAAATCGATAACAAGTAGGACGAAAATGCGGAGGAAGTTCTATATTTCATAGAGGAAGTTGCACTCAAACAATGCTAAGTCGTGTATTTCGTAGGTGAGTTATAAAAACTGCTGTAAGTCAAACATGTAAACAACACGTCGTTAATTGCAAAACAACATTGATGTCTGTAAGTTAAAAGTTGTGTGAATAGATCGATAAGTGGTTTGTTTGACAAACAAGTTGTACATATTTTGTTAGAAGTCAAGTAAATGAAGCTGAAAGTTATAGACCTAACAGCAAAGTTATAAATGTATTGTAGGAAGTTATCTTCGACAAGGATAAGTTGTTTATAAATCCACACAAGTTGTACACAAATTCACACAAGTATTTTTGTCCCCTATAGCGCGTTATAGCCACGATCACTCCCGTCGATTCGGAATCGTACAATTACGTTGACGGCAAAGTCGAAAAATCAGGTTCAAGTATTACAATTACTCAAGTTAGGAAATCAACAGATAAAAACTGAGAAAATTATCCTTACGGATAAACCTGGCATGAATGTATTTATTTTTTAAACATTAAATGATAAATAAAGAGAGAGCTTAGCCACATGTTTCAAACTGGCGTTAATCGTAAGCGTGATTCTAAAGCTCTAGACGCCTGCGTTCGCATCGAAGTTCTCCTAGGAACCAGTGGAGAGGCAGGCAGACCACCCTCTGTTAGTGAGGGCCGTTGTTGATTGAAATCTGAGCAACGATCTTTTGTTATATATATTTATACGCTGATTGGTGGAATTGAATCGACGCGCATACCTCACATGCCTTTGGCTGAGACTTTTGCACCGGTCATGTTGAGAAAGCTGGTCTTGCGACTTCAGGATCTCTTTTCTCGAGAAATTTTGGAAGGATTGAGCTCTCATTCGGATGGGACATGGATACATATCTAGTGGATCGGGAGCCGGTATTTTCGAGGTAAGAAATTAAATCATTGGCATCAGCTTAAATTGGACTGGGTCACGCGCCGGCGGCTGATTGCTGCCTGCCTTGTCTCCTTCTTTAGTTCTAATCGCCGAGGTCAAATATTCATCTCGCAAAATACCGCTTAAAACAGCACGGGACGGCGAAGAAAACATGACACATGACTCAGTTAAAAATTTTCTTCAAACTTTTATTGAAACATTTGCTTTTAACTCTGCATTCGGGAACAAATTATAGCCACCGTATTGTTCATACGTATTTCTTCTATAAAAAACAAAAGATCGTTGCACAGATTTCAATCAACAACGGCCCGCACTAACAGAGGGTGGTCTGCCTGTGGGCTTTGTAATGAGAAATATGTTACTGAGATCTGCGAGCGCTAAATAACGCTAAACATTACTTTTCTTAAATGAAATGAATAAAAAAGACTTACCTGCAATGTATTCCACTGCGTTTTGGTGTCTGTTTGTCGTTTTACTGATTTTTTTTGGCTTTTTGCGCAACCGCTGTTACTCCTTTCATAGAACGAGTTGAAGACTGGTCACTTCAATCTGTCGGGGTCCTGGACTAGTCGCAACAAGAATGCCGTTTTTTTCGCCGAAATTCAAATCCACTGCAAACTTTTCAGCTCCAGCCGAAGAGAGGAACCTCTTCTTCCTCTCTTGAACATCAGCTCTAAAAAAGATCCATAATTTCCCCATCAAATCGAGCCATTTGTGCCGGACTTCGAGACACGTCTGGCTTTCGTCTAGTGCCTATGACCACTCTCGTGCTTACCAACTAATTTGCATTATGACATTTGGCACTTACACGACGGGTGCCAGGGCGGAAATGACACGTCAACTAGGCTCTTGCATTGTGAAAAAGCGAGTGCTTGCACCCGTCGTGTATTGAGGTTGGAGAGTTTACTAAAATGGTTGCACGTGATGGAATCAAATGTCGTCCTATTCCCGTGAGTAGGCATGCGTAATTTAATTCAAGAAAAGACAATCTCGTTTCCAGAGTCCGCGTTACTCTTGTCCAGCGGAACGGGCAACAGGGAAACGGTAACGCGGACTCTGGGAAAGAGATTGAAGAAAAGACAAAAGGCAAATTCCCTTAAGAGCATGCGCATCACGTAGTCTGAAATAGGATAACAAAACATACAAGCTAAAAAGGTCTATTTAGCAGTTTTCACATGATGTCACATGGGAAATCTTGGCGTTTCAAAGGACATTAGGGACTTTAAGATCCAACGACGCGGACGGTTTAGGTTTAATAAGCAAAACCACAAATTCGCACTTTTTTGTACATTTCTTTCCCGTTTTCGCACGACTAGGACGTGAAAATGCCTTATTTCGCGTTTATGGAGGACGTAAACAAGCAACGAGGAAATTTTATTTCTCTTTCTGAGCTTGGATATGGTCATTTGAAATTTAGCTTCAGAAGGGTTCGCCTACATTTGACAAAGTAAGTGGGTAGGAATGATCGCTATAAAGACTGAAAGGAAAGAACGCAAATTCACTTTTTAAGTGACGTTCTCGTTGTCGTCACGTCGTTGAATCTTAAAGTCCCTTTTATCAGCCTTTAGCGACGTGATAAATATACATCCACATAAAACAGGATGCAAAAGATACAGCAACCTGTTTACTTTTTTTTGTTTACCAGTTGCAAGATATTTTTAAAGTTTTTTGCTTGTGATAGCACAGTCACAACAGGGGCACCCAACGTCAATTTTCGGAAAATATCTGTTCGGAAGACGATTTGAGATCTAGAATTTTCGGAACATTTGTTGTAAAATGTCTTGCTTGCCTGCCTCTCCTAGGATTTTCGAACATCTAATAGATGGTATAATTGCCCATTTTTAGAGGATTTTTACCCTAAAAACGTCACCTAGAATTTTCAGGAGCCCCTTTCCTGGCCGAAATTTTCGAGAAGGTAAGTTTTGATCTCTATAATTTTCGGATCACTAGACTTTCAGCTAGGAAATCCGAACAGATGAAAATCTTTTAGGGGATGAAAACATGCCTATATCTACCGTTTAAATACTCCAACAATACAACGACAAACACACTTGGTAAGTGACGTCACTATTTTATTGCCGTCGCATAATTCCTACGAGAGGACAGTGGCAACGAGATTGTCGGGGTATTGTTTGTGAGGTTAGGTTTTTGCAAGAGCTTCAGAAGGCAAATAGATACTTGGAGAAACACAGACAAATCCGAGTTTTCCCAACAGGGGTCGAAATTATGACTATCTGGTTACCTGCATAAGAAAGAATAGCCTGTGAACAGGCTCTCTGTTTGGGGAAAAAAAATAGCAAGGACTTGTGCTAGGCTGGTTTGACAGACACTGTTCAAGAAATAAGCCCCCTCCTCTCCTCCCTCCCTCTCCCTCTTCTCGGAAAGGAGCAAGATCAGACCCGAGAGAGCGGCGTTAATCAAGCCTATTGCATGCCTCAGAGCTTCTTATTTGAACTATGAGAATACAAATCTGACTATCAGTGATGTGTATTAAATGCAGACAAATTCACTACAATAACCAACCTCATCTTGTCTTCTCTCCTAAATAATAATACTTTATTGCTGCGATTCGTTTACCTACAACCAAAAATATTCTAATTCTGTAGTTCTTCCAAGACTATACAGCTGACTAAAGCTGTGTCGTGAGTCCAGCCTCAAAGAAAGTCTGTGCGATCTCAGAGAGTTGTCTAGGAAACGTCATCGAGATAACATGACGAGATGACGAGTAACCATGCCATTCAGTGAAAACATGTTAGAGGGTTCTGAATTGGTAAAATGGGAACTGGGATTTGATGTTCTGGGAAAATGGGATTTACTGCACTGGGGCTGGGATTTAACCACTGGGAAAGCGATTAACAATTTCTAAATGGCAATGGGATTTCTCTCCTTTCATGATCTTCGACTATATTATTTGACAAAATTGCTCAAATGTGCTTACTTTTTTATATAAAAGAAATAATATTCTGTACCAGTAGACCTCAGTATACACATAAGATCATGTCAGTCTTTTATTTTTTGTCTTCTTGTCTCACAACACAGTTAGCTGGTCTGGTCATTGCAGCGGTTTGTCGTTGAGAGAATGCATGACGCGCATGTTTGTGCACAACAGAGTTCAAATGCGGGCGTGGAATTGAACATTCCGGTGTGAGGAGGAGATTTGCCAACTATGGCAGTAGAAATATTTTTTCTGTGGACTACGTTGAGCCCGGTCCGCCCAGAAAGCGCCGTTTGTAATGCGGACTATTGAGGAACAGATGGAAATGATCAGAGGAAGTGAACCACGTTCCTTGTTCATCCGACTAATTTAGCGAGTGCCATTTTATCAAAAAGGAACAAAAAACATCGTCTTAAAACAGAGTTCATTGCATTAAATCTCAGGCTTCACTTGTTGTGGCACTCCTGCGTGCACAGGCAACGCAGCCAATAACTTGGTTAAAGCACAACGGGGAACGAGCATCAAGGGAAGAGGACATTACTTGTGCACAAATTTCTTTTCTTGTATGATCAACGTTAACAACATTTGTTAAAATTTTCCATTTATACAATGTCACGTGACTGCCGTTGGATCCCAGCAAAACCGAGTGTTTGTGTTCATGTGATTTAAGATGGCCATGTCCTTTGCAGAGAGTTGAAAGTCGTTAACACTCAAGTTGTCCTTTATGTGCTGGGGTCGGACAGACTTTGGAATCACCCCTGTGGAAAAAGACAGTACCTATATATAACTATAATAAAGAACTCTAAACCCAGAAGTGCACACGAAAATTTAATCCCTCATTAAGTATGACTTTCTGAGAACAACAGAAAGTAATCGTATTCATTCTGTCACAATAGGATCTAGTGGAAAAGGTGCTAGATTCATTGGTTCACCACTCTTATCTGGGCGTGGAGCTGTTCACTAACCTCTACTGAGGCTCACACATAACCAAGTTATGAGGGAAAATCACCTAAACATGGATTTCTCTTGCAAAACCTGAACAATAGACCTTTTTACCGATACGGCAGCCATATTGAATTAATTTCGATTTAAGGAGTTTTAAGGATGCCCAGGGGGCATGAGCACATTTTGTTTGTATTTTCGGGCGCTTTTCGGGACATTTTTTCTTAAAGTTTTCTTAGAATAAGATTGTAATGGGAAAAAAGATCCTTGTGCCGTGTTTGGATTTAATAATGATCGCCTTTTTCTAGTTTAGTATTAGAAATATGGTCCTTCACTGTATATTTCTCGGGAAAAAGGCGATCAAGCGCTCGAAACTACAAACGAAATGTGCTCATGCCCCTTGGGCATCCTATAATACCTCCTAAAATCGAATTAATTCAATATGGCCGCCATATCGGTAAAAAGGTCTATTGACCTGATGAAAGAAGTGAAAGAAGCAACCTAAATGGCCCTTGTGAGACCACATAAGGAACACGCCAGTTCAGCCTGGCACCCACATCTTATTAGAGAGTTTTAGATCCGAGTTTACCGCGAACCTCTAACCGCGGTTTGCGGTTACTCGTTTGCGGTTCGACGGTCAAACATTATTCGATTTAGATTGGTGATGGATTAAAGAAGCCATTCTAGGTTTATTTTTCCATTTAGAAATAGAAGAAATATCAATCAGTGAAAATAAAAGAAATTTACCGTAACACTGGGTTATCTAGCAGCAAAAAGCTTTAAATTCTTACATTAGTTCTTCTTACAAATTTACGGCCGCCATTTTGAATCAGCAGCCATGAATGGCACTTGTTTTCAAGATCCAATAGGATTTATCAAATTTAGCCATTTCGTCCGAATTTGCGCCTCTGTTAATGGATAAAGACTTGCTCCACAAGATTTTTGTATCATTACGTGGGATAAAACAAGAATTATACGCTAAAAGCTTTCAGGTAAATGACATACGTTAAAACCTACCTCCCCACGTTGAAAACGCACATCGTAAACCTCAAAGGTGACGCGAAAGACTTATCACGTGACCTCCAGCGGTTAGAGTCGTTAGAGGTTCGCGGTAAACTCGGATCTAAAACTCTCTATTAAGTACATCAAACTGGTGGAAGGAGTTCAGAGGAGAGCTGCATGCTGATTATACACTGACTAATAAGTACTATTACCATACCTACCTACATTATGTTGAAGAGCCCACTTGAGTAACACTTGAGCTGTTGACTTGTTGTATATTGTAGCTATACTTCTGACTTGTGCCTCATCTAACAGCTAAAGAGATCGTAGTACTTTGGTTCATTGTGCAATCTTACTTTTTTTGTCTGCATTAAAATTTTCTTGCACAGTCTTCCTCAAATTTTCCCCTTAAAACCAAACAACAACGAAAACGACCCCCAAGAACTCGAAAAAAAAGGGGATTTCCTACTTGTCATTTGGGCAAGCAGCTGTCACATTTTGCTTGTTCGGGGCCACTTCTTGCTCGTCTTCGTTAATGATTTTTTTAGAGGATGACTTGCCTATATCCTTTCCCACTTGACCAGTAGCCTTTTATAGTTACTTGCCCTGAAAGAAAATCTACTTGTCCCGAACTACCGGGCAGGACTTTTATCGAGCCCTGCTCCCCCTCCCCCCTAAAAAAAACACTTAATACAGTTTATCTTGTACTAAGCAGAGCACTTCACATTTACAGGAAAACAAGCGGCAGTAAGTCCAATCTTTTCTTTTGAACTTATTGTTTTTTTTGTAAAATAAATGGGTCTTCAGGTCTGAAGACACCTCCTATAAAGTGGACACCAACAAGGGACCCATAATGATAGAGTTTTCACTGTAAATAATGACACACTAGAGATTACTGGTTACCACATGTAGGTAAGATGAGATCGTTGTTCATACAAGTCATCTAGACACCGCTGGTCCTAGCACTATTTTGGACGTGTGTGACATGAACCCAGTAAAGGCCTACAAGACTCATCACAAATCGTTTAAACAGGAACCGTTTCTCTTGAATTTTCAGGGGCACCCAACGAGAATGTAGTTCAAAACCACTTAAACATAGCATTGTTAAACGTATTTTAGTATTCAAACGGTAGATATAGGCATATTTTTATCCACTAAAAATTTTTCATCTGTTCGGATTTCCTAGCTGAAAGTCTAGTGATCTGAAAATTATAGGGATCAAAACTTACTTTTTCGAAAATTTCAGCCAGAAAAAAGGCTCCCGAAAGTTCTAGGTGACCTTTTTAGGGTAAAAATCCGTTAAAAATGGGCAATTATACCATTTTTTAGATGTTCGAAAATCCTAGGAGAGGCAGGCAAACAAGAAATTTTACAACAAATGTTCCGAAAATTCTAGATCTCAAATCGTGTTCCAAACAGATATTTTCCGAAAATTGGCGTTGGGTATTCCTGAATTTTCACGAAACATTCTTAGATTCACTCTCCACACCTTTGTTCTCACTCAAATGTGCCCCTCTTCTTCCCCAGTGTTGAGCCATGCGTATTTTGGAGCACTAAGACGACTGTAATACCCAAATCAACTTCGGGGAAGGGGAAAATAATGCACAAAAGTGTTTCAAGATTTTTGACTAGTGTTGTAGCTCAGTGTCTATAGAAAAAAGTGCTTAAAAACAGTGTCATCTGGTAATCCACCTCAAGTAGATTTTCTTTTCAGCCAAGTAAGTAATTTTCATGTTTACTTGACTGATGGGAAAAGGTCTAGTCAAGTCATCTTCTAACTACATCAAAAACTTAGACAAGGATGCAGTGGCCCTGGGCAAGCAAATTTGAGAGCTGCTTGTCCTATAAACATGCTGAAATTTAAGATTTTTTCAAGTCTTGCACTAGCTCATTTGGTGAGTGTTCATACACTTCCAAAAGCCAAAAGGTCATGATTTCTGTTATTAAATGCAATGAATCTCNTTATCCACTAAAAATTTTTCATCTGTTCGGATTTCCTAGCTGAAAGTCTAGTGATCTGAAAATTATAGGGATCAAAACTTACTTTTTCGAAAATTTCAGCCAGAAAAAAGGCTCCCGAAAGTTCTAGGTGACCTTTTTAGGGTAAAAATCCGTTAAAAATGGGCAATTATACCATTTTTTAGATGTTCGAAAATCCTAGGAGAGGCAGGCAAACAAGAAATTTTACAACAAATGTTCCGAAAATTCTAGATCTCAAATCGTGTTCCAAACAGATATTTTCCGAAAATTGGCGTTGGGTATTCCTGAATTTTCACGAAACATTCTTAGATTCACTCTCCACACCTTTGTTCTCACTCAAATGTGCCCCTCTTCTTCCCCAGTGTTGAGCCATGCGTATTTTGGAGCACTAAGACGACTGTAATACCCAAATCAACTTCGGGGAAGGGGAAAATAATGCACAAAAGTGTTTCAAGATTTTTGACTAGTGTTGTAGCTCAGTGTCTATAGAAAAAAGTGCTTAAAAACAGTGTCATCTGGTAATCCACCTCAAGTAGATTTTCTTTTCAGCCAAGTAAGTAATTTTCATGTTTACTTGACTGATGGGAAAAGGTCTAGTCAAGTCATCTTCTAACTACATCAAAAACTTAGACAAGGATGCAGTGGCCCTGGGCAAGCAAATTTGAGAGCTGCTTGTCCTATAAACATGCTGAAATTTAAGATTTTTTCAAGTCTTGCACTAGCTCATTTGGTGAGTGTTCATACACTTCCAAAAGCCAAAAGGTCATGATTTCTGTTATTAAATGCAATGAATCTCTCAACTACATGTATTAGTCCCAAACTAGAAACCCACTGAATCGAAGACTTCATCTTGGTTGTAACATACCTTTCCTTGGCCTAATGAAGTATAGGCTTGTAGCCAAATTCCTTTCCTTAGGCAGTACTCAAGCAACCCTTTCTGGAAAAGTCTTGGGTGAAACTCTACCTACAGTTTAAAAGACTTGAGTTGTTAAATAGAGAATAATAGATGGCTGCACAGGGTTACCAGTACAGAAGTTATCTATGATAGTCAAATCAATAAACTGTGACTGAATGCAGACAAAGAAGAAGCTATGAATTTGAACATGAGGAGAAAAACTGCCCTGGGCATTACATTTTTCTTGAAAGTTAATGTAGACAATATCATGCTTAATTCTTTAACGGACTGAAATTAAAACAAATTGCACAAACGTGTAAAGAAAGTACACATACCATGATACATACCCAGAGATTCTCTGAATGTTGCCTTTAAAAATTCTTTGAAAATTTTTTAAGTTGCCAACAATTGTATTTTGTAATGCATTAATAGTTTCAGTTTCAGTGACTTTGTAATACATGTAAGAAATTGCCCCTTCATGAATGAATGTTGTTCTTTGAGTAAAAGCTGTTCTCCTATACCACCAGGAGAAACAAACAGACACTACTGTACAAAAGAGAAGAAACATTATAACAAACGTCACCTGCAATACGGCAGGAACAACAGTAGCATACTGTAACATCTCTTCCAAGTGGGCAACTGTGTAGTTTGATACACCGATACTTCTGAGTAAACCTGAAGGAGACCCATGCAGAATGAGCTCATCACATTGACTTACTTTTACTTTATAGACCAACTTTTTTTAGAGGGGCTGGGGCTGGGGGATTATTTTTAGGGGTGTCTGAAATCCATGCGCGTTTTCGGAGTTAAGAATAGATCCTTCCACCATGAGTGCACGTTGGATATGAGATAGCTAGTAGATAGCCATTAATCATCTCATATCCTACAAGTGTGAGTGGAATAATTGTTTTATTAAAAATGCCCATAAAATATCGAGAATTCTTCCTGACTTTATTTGGAAAAACAACCGATTTTCAGCTTATTTTAAATTTTGAGCAGACGAGTACACTTACCATATTTAGAGATCATGGTATAATGGCTCATACACCATGATGGCTAAGCCAATCAGAGCTCTAGAATTGCATTATCCAATGATTTAGTTTTTAATAAGACCAGTTAGCAAATATCCATTGACACTGCCAGAAAGAGTACCTTGCAAAGTTCAAGTGTGATACGTTGAATAGCTAATTCACAAAGCCTGTGGTGAAAATTGTACAGAATGATGTAAAATAGTTTGTATAGTGGGTACATTAACTTATAGGCAAACTATAGGCAAATGTCTGTAGAATTTGGCAACTTTGTGGAGCTATATCTTTCTTACTAATTTTCAACATATCATGTTCAAACTTGGCATCTTTACTAATTTTAAAGCGTGCTTTTCACCTGTCTTGATGGATTTTTTGATAACTGGTCCAGATCAAAAATTGAAAAAAATGTGGAAAGGTCTATTAAAATAAATAACCTGCTTTATAAAGCTTCTCTAGTGCTAGCCAGCTTCCCTTTCTAAGTTCAGAATTTTTTGGATCTTCCCTTTTCAGCTTTTGTACACCAGGCCAGTGAATAAGATACAAGTCAAGATATTCACAGTCTAAAGCTTCTAGAGACTTCATACAAGCCGCCTCTGCACTATCAAATCCATGGTCTCTTGGGGCTGAGGAGAAGAACAACAAAAAAATACCATAATATATATGAAATATTTTAAGAGTTCAAGCAAATATAATTTGAAGACTGCCAATGAAGTCTTTACAGCTTGCTTCTAAAGCTTTTAGACACAGATCAATGCTGAACTTATNGGGGGATTATTTTTAGGGGTGTCTGAAATCCATGCGCGTTTTCGCAGTTAAGAATAGATCCTTCCACCACGAGTGCGCGTTGGATATGAGATAGTAGATAGCCATTAATCATCTCATATCCAACAAGTGTGAGAGGAATAATTGTTTTATTAAAAATGCCCACAAAATATCGAGAATTCCTTCCTGACTTTATTTGGAAAAACAACCGATTTTCAGCTTATTTTAAATTTTGAGCAGACAAGTACACTTACCATAATTTAGAGATCATGGTATAATGGCTCATACACCATGATGGCTAAGCCAATCAGAGCTCTAGAATTTCATTATCCAATGATTCAGTTTTTAATAAGACCAGTTAGCAAATATCCATTGACACTGCTGGAAAGAGTAACTCACCAAGTTCAAATGTGATTTGTTGAATAGCTAATTCACAAAGTCACAAAAATTGTACAGATGTAAAATAGTTTGTATAGCAGGTACAAACTTATAGGCAACCTATAGGCAAATGTCTGTAGAATTTGGCGACATTGCGGAGCTATTAATATCTTTGTTACTAATTTTCAACATATCATGTTCAAACTTGGCATCTTTACTAATTTTAAAGTGTGCTTTTCACCTGTCTTGATGGATTTTTTGCTAACTGGTCCAGATCAAAAATTGAAAAAAAATGTGGAAGGGTCTATTAAAAAAAATAACCTGCTTTATAAAGCTTCTCTAGTGCTAGCCAGCTTCCCTTTCTAAGTTCAGAATTTTTTGGATCTTCCCTTTTCAGCTTTTGCACACCAGGCCAGTGAATGAGATACAAGTCAAGATATTCACAGTCTAAAGCTTCTAGAGACTTCATACAAGCCGCCTGTGCACTATCAAATCCATGGTCTCTTGGGGCTGAGGAGAAGAACAACAAAAAAATACCATAATATATATGAAATATTTTAAGAGTTAAAGCAAATATAATTTGAAGATTGCCAATGAAGTCATAACAGCCTGCTTCTAAAGCTTTTAGACACAGATCAATGCTGAACTTATTCAAGGGTAATGGAGACTTTTTAAAAGATCCAATGACGCAATAACAATGATAGCCTGCAAAAACATCCGTTTCTCCTCGCTCTTCGCCGCTGGGGACTTTTCGCGCGGAGGAACGTCTGTGACTCAGCGACAGAAATTCCATACTGATGATGCAAATCAATGTTTACGTAATAAATCCGGTAGTCATCAGCTGAGTCACGGGGTTCTAAATATAAATTTGTCTAATTTTATGTGTCTTCTGGTCGATTTTGGTAAAGTGTTGTGCTTATCTGCCAACGACCTCCAGCAAAACTCAAATGCTTCTTCTAGAGGAGACTATACTCCACAAATATTGACTGTTTTGTTAGAGATTCTTCGCATTTACATTTGACCTTTGTGGCCTTTTGTCTTTTGTCTGTCATTTGTAAACAACAGCTAAAACAATGTAACCACTCCGTCGACCAATCAGTGCTTCTGAACGGATTCCGGACAGATTTTACGTCATCAGTATGGAATTTCTGTTGCTGAGACGTAGATGTTCCTTCGTGTGAAACGTCCCTAGCGGCGAAGAGCGAGGAGAAACGGATGTTTTTGAAGGCTATAACAATGAGAACATCGGTCAAAAAGTGAATTTTCATTCTTTCAGTCTTTATTTTGATTATTCCTAACCACTTCCTTTGTCAAATATAAAGGCAAACCCTCTTATAAGAAGTCAAATTCCAAGGGACCATATCCAAGTTCAGAAAGAGAAATAAAATTGCATTGTTACTAGTTTATGTTCACCATAAAATGCAAAACTGCGCATTTTTATGTCACAGTAGTGACAAAGCAGCAAAGAAATGTACAAAAAAGTGTGATGCATATACAAAGTTGTTGTTTTGCTTATTAAACCTATTGTTTTTTAGACATTCTCGTTGCCATTGTGTCATTGGATTATTGCTAAAGTCCTTAATGTAATCAGGGTCGGGATACTCACTGAAAGTCATTTGAAGTGGGTATTAAAAAAGACTTTCACTAACAATATTGAGTAACTAAAAGCCTCGGGGCTCTATGAAGATCAAAAGGCCTGATCTGCTTGTGGGGTATTTCTTACACAAGTCAGCCAAGCGCGGTCTTTGCATGCGTGCTGAACAAGAATGCGGTATAATGACAGACTAGAAACAATAGACAACTCCCAAAGCACAAACTCAGCCAAAACGCTAAAAATCTTCAATGTTTACTCAAGTTTGGGCTTATAGAAGATAATGCCACAGTTTTTCAATGACCATGAAATTCAGAGTCCGGGTAGTTAGTTAATCAATTGTGGCCCTGAAAAAATTTGAAGGAAAAAAAACTACGAATTTTTAAGAAAATGCTTTTTTCGTGAGAAGGACTCTTAAACGCTGACAAACGTCAACAAATAGCGAAAACTATAATTTCTATATGTTTGCTTTGCTCGAAATCGCGCGCATTTACAAGGCCCTAAAGCGTTTTGCTGACTTGCAAGGACCCATCTGTTATAACGATGCCCAAAATAAAGAGATGAATCTCATAGTTTATTAGATATAATCCGTGTAAAGTTTGCTTATCATTTTCGCATAAATTATGACCTAAATTTGGAAACCGCTGAATTTCTCGAATTGGGTCTTTGCGATTTTGGTGAAACTCTGTTCAGCGCAAGGCACTAATGCGCACTATGTGTAGCCGAGAGATTTTCACGAAAAAATGCCGGCAACAGCAGATTTTCGACTCAGACCTCAAAGGGGCGTGGCATTATAACCACGTGACATTTACTCCGATCGCCAAAAATTTTATGTTATATTGTAGATTGATCTATATGTTATCCATTCTATGTGTTAGACTTACGATAAAAGTAAAGGTGGGGATACCAGAGAGCTTCAAAGTAGGATGGTACCCCCCCAAAAAAACTGGGTCGAGTCACCTTAATATTCAATAGATAGTTGTTGTTACTTTCTTTCTTACTTAACTTTTATTTTACTTTGTTTCATTTGTAATTAATATACATGTATTGATTGTCTTGGTACTGAAATCTTACGTACATGTCGAAGATAAAGTCAATAAAGTTGTATTGTCATTAAATTAATCTACTCTGTGAAAGGTTTGAACCCAGGAGTCATTTCAAAAGGTTGAGTTTGATCGTCCGGGTGAACGTAGTCCTGAATACGATTGTTGTTGTTGACAGTGACTGATGTTTCGACAACCTGTGCGGTAGTCATCTTCAGAGTCAAAGAAGAAGATGACTACCGCACAGGTTGTCGAAACGTCAGTCACTGTCAACAACAACAGTCCTATTCAGGACTACGTTCACCCGGACGATCAAACTCAACCTTTTAACCTACTCTGTTGTCATAACTTATGGTAAGTCTTGAAATCACAAAATCCAAACCAGTGCTAACACTTCTTGTCACTCATAATCAACAATTGTTTGCATTCTAACTTTTGAGTCTGCGGGTGAAATCCTATTGTGTGACCATTCAAAGGACACCTCTCTTTAAATTAATATTTTTTGGAATCTGTTTGAAAAGAAATCTGGAAACTTTGTCAACTTTTGGAAGAGAAAGTGTCAAAAGGTGACTGTGAATAGAGGTACATGTATCACCCTCTAAGAGCTTTGGGACCAACAAAACTGTCTATAATAGAGACTGAGTCAGTGCAAAATAACAAAACGTTTGACTTTAAAAAGCCATTTTGCTTGGCTAATTAAAGGCAATAACTTAAGATACAGGCCTAAACTTGTCATATTAATAACACATTAGAGAAATTCCAAAGACTCACACAGTTTGCTTGTTATGAAGACATCTTGTCTGGAAAGGCCATACTTTGGTAGAAGCTCTTTTAGTGCACGTCCAATATCTGCTTCATTCCGATAAACAGCAGCTGTGTCTGTTTACAGCAAGCAAAAAATAATCAAGACTCAAAGCCTTAACTCATTGTGCATGAGACTACAATATGATAACGGGAAATTAATATTTTGTTATTGTCACTTCTTGTTGTTTATGGAAAGGCTTAAGGAAATACAGTCGACTCCCGATAATTCGAACCTTCAAGGGAAATAGAAAAAAGTTCGAGTTATCGGGAGTTCGAGTTAATCAAGGGTAAAATTATATGGAAAATGATCTGAAGGGAAATGAAAATTACTTCGAGTTAACGGGAGGTTCGAGTTGTGGAGGGTTCGAGTTACCAGGAGTCGACTGTATGACAAGTTCTGTTACACTGTTTCCCTTTGTGCATAAAACATCTCAGTGCCTATAAGTGCTTAAGACAAACGTGGGGTCTTGAGGACCAAACTTTTTAATGGAAAGTATGAAGCTAAACTGGAATTTCAAAGAGGTTGCAGGATAAAAAAAAACCACTGTGTAAACAGTATGGATATTTACTGAAGCAACACATTTCTGTTGCCGTTAGGAGTCTAGACAATGGAAATTGTTGTCTCTGTGTCCATTTCTGGTGAACTTTCTTGGAAAATGTGTGCGAGTAACAGAAAAAAACACATTGTGTCATCATTATGCCATAATTTGAAAACTTTGTCAATGCTCTCACAGACCATAGCCCCTGATTAATGAGCACTCAAGAATCATGTCATTAATGTAAAATGTCCCTGGGGGAGGTACCTTAAGAATTCTTGGATAGGGATGAGCTGCTGGGACTGTGGAACCCCTGGCCTACACTGGACCTAGCCCACCTGAACTTTGCTGCCCTTTACTAGACTAAACTCCTAAAATACCTTCCTATGGCCTATCCTAGAGTTGCTATTTTTCAAAAAGTACTGAGGTCAGCAGCACAGTTCAGCACAAAAGCTTAATGAGTTGCAAGTAAACCTAAATCTAAACCATACACTTTGCAGCAGCATATACCTATACACATACCTGCCAACTCTCCCGGTTTTCCCAGGAGTCTCCAAGTTTTTCATCAGATCTCCCGGTCTCCCAGTTAGAGCACCAAATCTCCCGGAAATACCTACCGCCCCCTTTTTATGAATTTTTTGATTAATTTTGTTATTTTTGAGAAGTCAAAAAGGAAAATGAAACAAGAAGTGAATTTAGTCCTCTTATTTGAGCTGTTCTTGATCGGAAAATGTAAAACAGAGCAATCAAATTGATGTATATTTAACGAGTATCATAATTGGTCAGAAATTAACCAACCAAATTGCACAATACTTGGTAGAAAGTTGGCGCGGTTTTCACACGCTGTTATTGATGTTGGGAACATTAGGAAGGCCTTCGGGTGATTTTTGGAGAGTATTCAGACATTGTTGAAGATTTCTAGACGTCTCCAGTTTTTTGTACTCCGGGGGTTGGCAGGTATGTATATAGCCTATACAGCTATTTCGAGAAAGGTTGTTGGATAAAGTGCACGCGACAACCCCGACAGGTATTGTGGGTGGTTTTGAGTGCACTGTTTTTCAAAGAAATTTGAAAGAATGGCAGGAGAGGTCATGGACATATGTCTGCTAGTGCTAAAGGAAAGCAACAAAAGTAGGTTCGACAGCTACAGTGTCAGGAACAGTGTATTGAACATATCCCATATTACCTTTCGGGATTGTCGCATGCACATTTTTTCCGACAACCTTTCTTGAAATAGCTGTATATGGCAGTACATACCCCCCTTCTCACGGGGTAATACTCTATGCATTGACTACCTTATGAGACACTTTTAAATTCTGCAAACAGTCTGCAGTGAACCTGACTTCTCTTACCTATAAGTCTGCAGCCACACTGCAGTGCGCTATCGATTGTTCTGTAAATTACATCATCTTCAGCCACTGATTTCATCTGAAAAGTTCCAACTGAAGAAGATCTCTCATTACTAGTAATTTACAGCACCCATGAAAACAGTACAAGAAATTACCATTGTCAGAACAGGCTTGAGCTGGCCAGATTAGTCCATTTGGGTTATATATGCATGGCAGTGATGAGTTTTCCGCGAAAACTCCAAAAAAGGCCTATTTGAATTCTAGTTCTGACTTAAGTGGAGTGACAAAATAAACATAAGTCTTAGGCTTATATTTTATGTTAAAATAATTATTACATAAAAAGTCATCAAAATTGACATGGAATCACTTACGTCCAATGTTAGGAATCTCTACTCCATTGTTTAAAGCGTGACCAAACAACATGTTATTTACGAAAACTAAAATATCGTACTAAAAATAGACATCTACATCTATATTTTTGTAGTTAAGATTCTCTACAAATCTTCTGACTTTTGATGACCTTTTGAGTCGCAAAAAGCCAGAAGACTTCGCGAGATCTCTTTGATTAGTGCTTCCAACTTTTTCAGCTGGCGTTTTGACTCAAAAAACCTACTCAATAGCATGCGTCGTGAGTTATTGAGCCTTCGCACATCAGCGGCCTACCCTAGTAAGCGGGAAAATCAAGAGGAAAGAAACGTGTTGATTGTCATTGTCTTTGAGCATTTGAATGGATCACACATCAAAAGATTTCGCACCTTAAACAACTTGAGAAATCCAGAATTTTTGCAACAATGTAAGGTAAGTACACTCATGTAATTATTTTTTGCAGAATTATTTGAGAAAACCGCCAACAAACTCGATAAACTATCTGCTTCGTTTTCCCGTCTGTCACAACAACGGACCTCGTGTTGAGACAAAAGTGAACCAAAATGCACTTAAAAGATTTTTACGAAACCTTTGGCGTTTCAGGTCTTTTCGTTGGCTTCATTTGAGTTTACTTTGAGCACATTCGAGGCTGAAATGTGCTTAATTTTTTCTCACGTAAATCGAGAAATTCATTGTCGCTAAAGGAACCAGTTGTTTCCGGTGAGAGAAATAAAACGCATTGATCGTAGACACAATGCTTGGTTAATCGAATATATTACTTCAAAGTTAAGTCGTACAATCAATGTGCTGCAGCTGCAACCCGGGAATTAATCACACGATGAAAAACGTGGCGAAATGCACAGCAACTTCCGCTTGTAGAAGTCTTTCGCCGGCCATGTCATCCTAGGTCTATAAAAATAGATGTGCTCAAAGACAACGAAACTGAATAATGTTATCAGCATTTTGCGCCCGAAAATGACTCAGACGTGGCTAAAGCCCTGATTTACTTAGCGTTTATTTAGTGAAAATTTGAGATTCAGTGTTCAAAGGATTTAATCGGTTTCAAAAGCAATAATTATATCAAAACTTTCATGTAGATTCAAAGCTCACGAGTTCAAACATAAGCTCATAACGACGCTTTTTACGGAGAAATTATAAACTTCTTGCAATCATATAAAATCTGTGAAAGCCATTTAAATTTCTTAACTGTATTAAAAAAGTATTTTTGTTTTTAAACTTAATTAAAACTGAAACGTCGACGAGAAAAAATCCTTTTACACTTGTGTAGCAATATACACAACAGGAAATACGTAATCTGCTAGCAACTGAGTTACAAGTTTCGGTTCATTGAACGTGACGTCACCTGTACCTTAAGCGTAGATTTTTATTGCAAAATCAGCCAGTAACTTTCTCAGTGCTGCGTGGTTTTGACATTAAAAGTAAAGAAAGAACATGTAGAGCATAAATTTGAGGGAAAAATTAACGCTCTAAGAGCTGATATCACAGGCGAAAATATGTATATTGCAGGTGAATATACATTCTGGTGTCGTGACCTTCCGCCGACGTACACACGTCAAGGGGTATTTAAGTTTAGCAGTGCAATCTTAGTGTCATGGATATTTAAGGACTTTTGTTTCCCAGTCGCTGCTCTTAATTAGTGACGGAAGGAAGTTTAAGTCGACAACATGTCGTTCCTGTGTCTTGCTCTTTCTGCCCAAAATTTACCAAACTGTTCTTAATTTTCCCCGGCTCTCATGCACAAAATTGCTCGTAGCAGACTGGTATGTAAATTTAGAATGATTTCTTCGAAATTATAGAATTGCTCCCACCTTCTTCCTGTTTCTCCAACCCCGCCCCTCAAAACCCCCACCCCGGGGCCTGTTTCTCGAAAGTCCCGGTAACTTTCGGGAACGCAAGGCTGTTTTATTTCTGCCTTGTTTGCATTGAAGATCAACGTTTTTAAAGTTTTGATACAATGAAACGATCATTTAAAGAAATAAAATTGACTGGTTTGTGAGCTAGAAACCGTGTTGACATTCAAAAGATTTTGATTTTAAAATTTGCCTTCGGGCCCGCAAAGTTTCCGGGCCTTTTGAGAAAAAGGCCCCTGGATTCCCTCCTTTCTCGGAGCACAGTCCTGTGCTGTGCTATGTCAACCGAAATTACACAGCTCAACGTCATATCCGACATCTTTTGATCACGCTGTTTCCTTTATAAACTACAGACTTCCGATCAGCGATATCTTTCTTTTGTCCGAACTACACGGAATTCAACATCGTCTCTACTTTCTTGCTGAGAGAAAAAATTACTGTCTTCCTTTCTATGAATTTCACTTACATCTTCCGTAGCGTGATTCTAGCCATCGTTTTTTAGTCCAATATATTTTTAACAATGATAAAATACCCTCAATACTTTGCGTGGGTTGACGGTTCAGTCAGTCTATAATTCCCCTCAGGAAAATGATTCGTTTGGTTTAAGGTAAGCCTTCCGAAATTTCAATTTTCAAGCTCTTTACTCTCCGGTTGTTGTGAAAGCGAGGAGGAGGAAATCGTGAGCGTGCAAATCATTTTAAATCAGTATGATTTTCAAATGTTTGATATTAAAAACCCCCGTCTTCTTTGGCTTCTTTGCTGGTGGCCGTGGCATAAGCTTCCTGAGTGATAGCAACTCAATGTATGGGAACCAGGCAAAAGCAGCAACAACAACAACCACAACTAATCTTTTTTATACCATCAGTAAGATTTGTGCAGAAAAATTATCAACAACCACAAACCATCAGCATGGCTGGTATCATACATTCATCGATTGTGACCTTAAATATCAAGAAGTCAGTTATACTCTAGACAATGCTGCTACACCTGCTGAAGGTTATTATTATTACAATGTATTACTGGTTTTTTGCCAATCGCTTGAGTCAAATCAGAGCTTTCGCTTTCTCTAATTCTTGAGTGCTTTTTCGGCTTTTTTGTCATAATCACACAGGCAATTTTAACTTCTTTTTGGCTTGAAGAATTTAGGTTTTGTACAACCGAATGTGAAATGACGTTTCCGGCGATCAGTTCTCTGGCCTCCGGTCATTTTCAACTTCCGTCCTCCGTGTTTCCTTTTAGAGCAGCTAGCGAGATCTTAAAACTGCCTAAATTTTCGCTTCAGCAGTAGTAACGTGTCACTGCTGCTTGCCGCCAACGCTTTTGGACTCCTTTTGAGAGTAATCATTAGGAAAAAGAACGATTTTACCAGCCAGAAGCGAACCTGAGCAATTATTGTGCTTTGTTCTCCCCCATCGCAACTACAGTGGCCCCGTTAGTCCGCCGTCAGCGTGAAAATTAGATCATTTTATGATAATTTTAAAGAGTTCCTTACGACTCAGTCATACATCGACTACATCTATATGCCATGCCGAATTTTTGTGTACCTCAGTTGGGCCAGAACGTCTTCTTTTATAAAGGCAGGTATTTATTTTAGACATTTTTGCCGTATTACTACTTAATCAGGAGCGTATCACCCTGGAATTTCCGTCGGCTACTTATAAGTGTCACACTGGGTCAGGCTTACTTTTAGTCGACTTTTTAACCTTGTTCCCAGGGGAAAAGCCCTGTGAACGAGGTTGTCTACTTTTAGGCTGTGGTTTTATTTTCCGCTCGCAAAAATTTGCGTCGTCTGCCGACATCCGGATAATACTTATGGCGGTTGATCTTCTAGACAGCGCCTCTTTGGTCGTCACTGCCAAGGTTCTTCAGGACGTAGCTCGCCAGCGGTCTTTTGGCGGCAGATGTAGAGAGCGGGGATAGGGGTAGGGGAATTGAAAACCTCCTACCCATCCCCGCTCTTGAGAGCTTGCTCGCTTGGCACTTCGCTGATCTCATCCGCCATTGCTAGAAATCCTGCTCTGATTGGCTGAGGGTTTTTGGGTGGGAAAGCTAAACGCGCTGTAACTCAGACCATATAAGATATACCGACCCTCTGGCCATGCGTGGCGTGAGTGGTTCTTGACGTTATCCACAGTGCTCAAAAGTTTGACTTCGACTGTCTGCGAAGTTTGCGAAAGTAAATAAACCATGTTTCAGATCGCGACTTCTCAAAAACTGTGCTGAAACTTAGACTGCGAGCTGTCTCTCTTTTTTAAAAACTTTTCTTGGGAGGCACGTGTAACCACATACGCCGGAGGGTCTCAATGGGGTGGTAGCTTTGACGGTTGACGGTAAATTTTCTCCGATTTTGACGGTTGACGGTTATTTCGTGGAAGTTTATAGTCCAAGAGTTTTAGCAAATATCTACTTCTGTATAAATTTATATTAACTGTTGTGGTTTGGAGGTTGTCTTGGCCTTTTACTTGTAAAATTTCGAAATATTTTCAGATATAAGCAAGTACTAAGGTCTTGTAATGTCTTGAAGGAGTGTTTTGAGAACATGGGAACTGGTTTTCCAGTTTGGAGCTGGATTCTTCAGGAGAAGAAGTCCATGACGATCAGCTAAAATACTAAAAAAAGCAAGATTTGAATGCCTTGAAACTTTCTGACAGTTAATATCAATCGGCATTTTTTACGGCTGACAGTGACGGTGAAAAATAACTGACCTTTTTGACGGCTGACGGTTAACCCCATTGAGACCCTCGCATACATGTACACGCTTGTGGCCAACGTCGAAGCAAGCCGCGAGTTGCTTTAATCAAGGGCGTTATCAGGGGCGCTTTCCATTTAGGCAAATTTTCCGGTTGGAAATTCCAGAAACATTCCGGGTCAGATGGAAAGTGTTTGCAGCCATATATAGAGCCACGTTTGCAATCTGTTCGGCTTGCACTGTTCGCCCGTCACAACGTCCTTGGAGACTGTGTTTGATAAATTCGCTGGCAATGTTTTGGAAATTTTTTTTTTGTTGATCTGTCATTGCAAAATCCTTCTTTTTGTTTTTGCCAGCAAGAGACAAGACGTTTTTCCTCCCAGCGTTCTAACATCGGACGTGCATATGCCATTTTTCTAAATGAGAAGAAAATACTTTTGTAAATAAAAAGCAAAACTGCGACTACCCGCCTGCCGAAACAGGATTGCGCAAATAGAACGGGAATTTGTTATCCAACCCGTTGGAACGGGAAAAGTGGAATAGCTCGGAAGATTGCCCGTTTGTTCCGGAAAATTTGCGGTCGTACCGCCCGTTCCGTTCACATTTAAACCGGTCGAAATTGGAAATTTTCCCCCCGCCATGGAAAGCGACCCAGTTGTTATTTTTGTCGTATCGCCCTAGTCCCTTTTAATAACGTAGTTGTTTCGCAACCTCCCTCGCTAGAAAGAGGATTCAACGAATTTAAGGTGTTTCGAAACAGTTTTTCGGAGGCCATACCGATAGTTTTCAATCGCCTAAAATTGATTTTGCCTGTTACGATCGCCATTCGCCATAATATTTTCACCAGTAAGTGACTTCAATCCAAAGTCGGTTTAGTAGTGAAAATTTTATGGCGATCGTTAAAGGAGATTGAAAAAGACCGGTATGGTCTTCGATAAACCGTTTGGAAACACCTTAAGAGAAAAGTTGGACGGCAAGCAGCCTAGCTGGAACTCTGGAACACACTATTTGTCATACGCGGCAGAGTTTATTTCTAACTTCCTCAGGAAGCTCTGTCAGAAAATATATTTAATATACAGTGCGTAGAAAGAACTACAGGAAAATATGGGCAAGGGTTTTAGTTTATTTTCACCTGAGCTATCCGCGGAAATAGATAGCCGTTAACCGTATTAATATGGAGCTTACAATCCGAGATCGAAAACGGCGATGGCAGTAAAACGTCATTGAAATTCTTGCTTTTTTTCAAACTTTTTCGCGATGAGTCCGGCCAAGTGATCCAGTTGAAAAAGATGCCGGGAAATTAAGTTGGAGCTAATATAAAGAGAGGGGATCCGGTGCGTCCGAGTTCAGACAGATAGCGTAAAATTTATCCTCTCTGAACTTGCCGTTCCCGCTCTCAAATAAACCTAAAATTTGGTCATTTGTACCTCGTATAGTACTCAGCAGCAACGGCAAAGTATATATGTGCAGAAAAGCGTGATGATGCACGTGCTGAGTTGTTGTTTTGCTCACTAATTAACCTTTTGGGCTAGTTATTTAAACGGAGTTATGGAAACACCATTTATCGTGAACAGTTTCATGATAGCAAATGGCATAGACTGGAAAAGTATTTGTCTCCTTAAAATATCCCACTAAGGAAGAGATCTGGAGGTCCAAACATTTCCTAAACCGCGGTCTAAATAACCAACCCTTTGTTTTTAAGACGTTTCCTTTTCCGTTGCTGTTCTTGCTTTGTAAGGTCCCTTATTTAATATATAGTACATTCTCAACAAGAATAGATCTTCATCTTGTTTCCGTGTGTAAAAATACATTTTACGCTGATATTGGCGTTACACAGCTGACCAAACAGGAAGAAGACCCGAAAGTTCCTGTTAAAGAAAAATTGGAACTTCCTGTAATGTTTCTCGCTTGTCTTCTTTTTAGCACGAGGAGTGTTTCTGTTGTTGAACATCCTTATCTTACTGGGAACCCGATAGCCTTGCTTGAAGGCCTTCTCAGAAAAGTGGACTTAATTTTTTTGCAAATCATACTTTAGTGTACGGGTCCGGTATTTCTTGATGTAGTGCACTATATATGTCTTAAGTGAAAGGTTTGTAGGGAAATGTCAGCTGTAAAACCTTTCCTAGATTTGTTTTTTAAGGTTTACATTATAGCGGAAACCATTTTGAGGTGCAAAATTTTTTAAAAACACACTAACGCTGTCATCTAACTGATCGCACTGCCATGCGGGCACACGTGCATTGCTTTGATTACGTTTCTACGATTCAGCCGTTTTTACAGGATTAAGTATTTCTTGACAAGAAGAAAGATATCTTTCTTCAAGGAAAACTTGCATAGGAAATGCGAAGACCTGACAAGTCTTTTGTTGTTTTCAAGGAAAACTTGTCGAATCATCTCAAAAACCGCGGGTTCCGATGCATTTTGTATCCTTCTAGTGATACCCTATGTTTTCTGCTCTCTACGATATGGTTCGTCACTTAGGGTCGAGAAGGTCAAGGGATATTTTTTAGCCGAGCAATTGCATATTCAAATCAATAACGACCTTTCGTTCTACAACAAAAATTTGGAAACGATTGTATGATACTTACAGAATTATGTTATATCCTCAACAGCTCAACGGTGGTTTATAATCCAAGCGCAATGCCGAAACGCAAGCGTGAACTTTTGAATCAGTGTAAGGTGAGCCGCTCGCCGAGGGTACCGCGGGCTTTGAAGACAAAAAGTAAAGAGGATCCTGTTTGCATCTGGGTGCAGTGTGAGAATGAACGCTGTAACAAATGGCGACTTATATCAGCCGAAGAGGCTAAGGGACTGGAGGAAAGCAGCTCATGGTACTGCTGGTTTAATCGTGATACTCGCTATAACACATGTTCAGCTGAAGAACAGAAGGTTAAAAAACCGAAGCATATGAAGTTTATATACAGTCTGCTACCCGAGGGGGAGGTAGTAACGGCTAAAATGCACGGATATCCACCGTAAGTACTGCACCATATTTTTCAGTGTTCTCTCTCTGATCATGAACACTACCGTATTTCCCCGAATTATAGCCGTCCCTCGATTAATCGCCCTCCCTTTGATGAAAATAAAAATAATCGCCTCCCTGGAATAATGCCCCCCCCCCCGCCCCTTACCCCTCTCGCCATCTTCTCTTTAAATTTCTTTTATCCCCTCCCTGTAAAGTTAAAAATTGAATAGTTGCAAAAGCACAGGTTTCGTTACAGTTTTCTATATGTGTTAGACTTACGATAAAAGTAAAGGTGGGGATACCAGAGAGCTTCAAAGTAGGATGGTACCCCCCCAAAAAAACTGGGTCGAGTCACCTTAATATTCAATAGATAGTTGTTGTTACTTTCTTTCTTACTTAACTTTTATTTTACTTTGTTTCATTTGTAATTAATATACATGTATTGATTGTCTTGGTACTGAAATCTTACGTACATGTCGAAGATAAAGTCAATAAAGTTGTATTGTCATTAAATTAATCTACTCTGTGAAAGGTTTGAACCCAGGAGTCATTTCAAAAGGTTGAGTTTGATCGTCCGGGTGAACGTAGTCCTGAATACGATTGTTGTTGTTGACAGTGACTGATGTTTCGACAACCTGTGCGGTAGTCATCTTCAGAGTCAAAGAAGAAGATGACTACCGCACAGGTTGTCGAAACGTCAGTCACTGTCAACAACAACAGTCCTATTCAGGACTACGTTCACCCGGACGATCAAACTCAACCTTTTAACCTACTCTGTTGTCATAACTTATGGTAAGTCTTGAAATCACAAAATCCAAACCAGTGCTAACACTTCTTGTCACTCATAATCAACAATTGTTTGCATTCTAACTTTTGAGTCTGCGGGTGAAATCCTATTGTGTGACCATTCAAAGGACACCTCTCTTTAAATTAATATTTTTTGGAATCTGTTTGAAAAGAAATCTGGAAACTTTGTCAACTTTTGGAAGAGAAAGTGTCAAAAGGTGACTGTGAATAGAGGTACATGTATCACCCTCTAAGAGCTTTGGGACCAACAAAACTGTCTATAATAGAGACTGAGTCAGTGCAAAATAACAAAACGTTTGACTTTAAAAAGCCATTTTGCTTGGCTAATTAAAGGCAATAACTTAAGATACAGGCCTAAACTTGTCATATTAATAACACATTAGAGAAATTCCAAAGACTCACACAGTTTGCTTGTTATGAAGACATCTTGTCTGGAAAGGCCATACTTTGGTAGAAGCTCTTTTAGTGCACGTCCAATATCTGCTTCATTCCGATAAACAGCAGCTGTGTCTGTTTACAGCAAGCAAAAAATAATCAAGACTCAAAGCCTTAACTCATTGTGCATGAGACTACAATATGATAACGGGAAATTAATATTTTGTTATTGTCACTTCTTGTTGTTTATGGAAAGGCTTAAGGAAATACAGTCGACTCCCGATAATTCGAACCTTCAAGGGAAATAGAAAAAAGTTCGAGTTATCGGGAGTTCGAGTTAATCAAGGGTAAAATTATATGGAAAATGATCTGAAGGGAAATGAAAATTACTTCGAGTTAACGGGAGGTTCGAGTTGTGGAGGGTTCGAGTTACCAGGAGTCGACTGTATGACAAGTTCTGTTACACTGTTTCCCTTTGTGCATAAAACATCTCAGTGCCTATAAGTGCTTAAGACAAACGTGGGGTCTTGAGGACCAAACTTTTTAATGGAAAGTATGAAGCTAAACTGGAATTTCAAAGAGGTTGCAGGATAAAAAAAAACCACTGTGTAAACAGTATGGATATTTACTGAAGCAACACATTTCTGTTGCCGTTAGGAGTCTAGACAATGGAAATTGTTGTCTCTGTGTCCATTTCTGGTGAACTTTCTTGGAAAATGTGTGCGAGTAACAGAAAAAAACACATTGTGTCATCATTATGCCATAATTTGAAAACTTTGTCAATGCTCTCACAGACCATAGCCCCTGATTAATGAGCACTCAAGAATCATGTCATTAATGTAAAATGTCCCTGGGGGAGGTACCTTAAGAATTCTTGGATAGGGATGAGCTGCTGGGACTGTGGAACCCCTGGCCTACACTGGACCTAGCCCACCTGAACTTTGCTGCCCTTTACTAGACTAAACTCCTAAAATACCTTCCTATGGCCTATCCTAGAGTTGCTATTTTTCAAAAAGTACTGAGGTCAGCAGCACAGTTCAGCACAAAAGCTTAATGAGTTGCAAGTAAACCTAAATCTAAACCATACACTTTGCAGCAGCATATACCTATACACATACCTGCCAACTCTCCCGGTTTTCCCAGGAGTCTCCAAGTTTTTCATCAGATCTCCCGGTCTCCCAGTTAGAGCACCAAATCTCCCGGAAATACCTACCGCCCCCTTTTTATGAATTTTTTGATTAATTTTGTTATTTTTGAGAAGTCAAAAAGGAAAATGAAACAAGAAGTGAATTTAGTCCTCTTATTTGAGCTGTTCTTGATCGGAAAATGTAAAACAGAGCAATCAAATTGATGTATATTTAACGAGTATCATAATTGGTCAGAAATTAACCAACCAAATTGCACAATACTTGGTAGAAAGTTGGCGCGGTTTTCACACGCTGTTATTGATGTTGGGAACATTAGGAAGGCCTTCGGGTGATTTTTGGAGAGTATTCAGACATTGTTGAAGATTTCTAGACGTCTCCAGTTTTTTGTACTCCGGGGGTTGGCAGGTATGTATATAGCCTATACAGCTATTTCGAGAAAGGTTGTTGGATAAAGTGCACGCGACAACCCCGACAGGTATTGTGGGTGGTTTTGAGTGCACTGTTTTTCAAAGAAATTTGAAAGAATGGCAGGAGAGGTCATGGACATATGTCTGCTAGTGCTAAAGGAAAGCAACAAAAGTAGGTTCGACAGCTACAGTGTCAGGAACAGTGTATTGAACATATCCCATATTACCTTTCGGGATTGTCGCATGCACATTTTTTCCGACAACCTTTCTTGAAATAGCTGTATATGGCAGTACATACCCCCCTTCTCACGGGGTAATACTCTATGCATTGACTACCTTATGAGACACTTTTAAATTCTGCAAACAGTCTGCAGTGAACCTGACTTCTCTTACCTATAAGTCTGCAGCCACACTGCAGTGCGCTATCGATTGTTCTGTAAATTACATCATCTTCAGCCACTGATTTCATCTGAAAAGTTCCAACTGAAGAAGATCTCTCATTACTAGTAATTTACAGCACCCATGAAAACAGTACAAGAAATTACCATTGTCAGAACAGGCTTGAGCTGGCCAGATTAGTCCATTTGGGTTATATATGCATGGCAGTGATGAGTTTTCCGCGAAAACTCCAAAAAAGGCCTATTTGAATTCTAGTTCTGACTTAAGTGGAGTGACAAAATAAACATAAGTCTTAGGCTTATATTTTATGTTAAAATAATTATTACATAAAAAGTCATCAAAATTGACATGGAATCACTTACGTCCAATGTTAGGAATCTCTACTCCATTGTTTAAAGCGTGACCAAACAACATGTTATTTACGAAAACTAAAATATCGTACTAAAAATAGACATCTACATCTATATTTTTGTAGTTAAGATTCTCTACAAATCTTCTGACTTTTGATGACCTTTTGAGTCGCAAAAAGCCAGAAGACTTCGCGAGATCTCTTTGATTAGTGCTTCCAACTTTTTCAGCTGGCGTTTTGACTCAAAAAACCTACTCAATAGCATGCGTCGTGAGTTATTGAGCCTTCGCACATCAGCGGCCTACCCTAGTAAGCGGGAAAATCAAGAGGAAAGAAACGTGTTGATTGTCATTGTCTTTGAGCATTTGAATGGATCACACATCAAAAGATTTCGCACCTTAAACAACTTGAGAAATCCAGAATTTTTGCAACAATGTAAGGTAAGTACACTCATGTAATTATTTTTTGCAGAATTATTTGAGAAAACCGCCAACAAACTCGATAAACTATCTGCTTCGTTTTCCCGTCTGTCACAACAACGGACCTCGTGTTGAGACAAAAGTGAACCAAAATGCACTTAAAAGATTTTTACGAAACCTTTGGCGTTTCAGGTCTTTTCGTTGGCTTCATTTGAGTTTACTTTGAGCACATTCGAGGCTGAAATGTGCTTAATTTTTTCTCACGTAAATCGAGAAATTCATTGTCGCTAAAGGAACCAGTTGTTTCCGGTGAGAGAAATAAAACGCATTGATCGTAGACACAATGCTTGGTTAATCGAATATATTACTTCAAAGTTAAGTCGTACAATCAATGTGCTGCAGCTGCAACCCGGGAATTAATCACACGATGAAAAACGTGGCGAAATGCACAGCAACTTCCGCTTGTAGAAGTCTTTCGCCGGCCATGTCATCCTAGGTCTATAAAAATAGATGTGCTCAAAGACAACGAAACTGAATAATGTTATCAGCATTTTGCGCCCGAAAATGACTCAGACGTGGCTAAAGCCCTGATTTACTTAGCGTTTATTTAGTGAAAATTTGAGATTCAGTGTTCAAAGGATTTAATCGGTTTCAAAAGCAATAATTATATCAAAACTTTCATGTAGATTCAAAGCTCACGAGTTCAAACATAAGCTCATAACGACGCTTTTTACGGAGAAATTATAAACTTCTTGCAATCATATAAAATCTGTGAAAGCCATTTAAATTTCTTAACTGTATTAAAAAAGTATTTTTGTTTTTAAACTTAATTAAAACTGAAACGTCGACGAGAAAAAATCCTTTTACACTTGTGTAGCAATATACACAACAGGAAATACGTAATCTGCTAGCAACTGAGTTACAAGTTTCGGTTCATTGAACGTGACGTCACCTGTACCTTAAGCGTAGATTTTTATTGCAAAATCAGCCAGTAACTTTCTCAGTGCTGCGTGGTTTTGACATTAAAAGTAAAGAAAGAACATGTAGAGCATAAATTTGAGGGAAAAATTAACGCTCTAAGAGCTGATATCACAGGCGAAAATATGTATATTGCAGGTGAATATACATTCTGGTGTCGTGACCTTCCGCCGACGTACACACGTCAAGGGGTATTTAAGTTTAGCAGTGCAATCTTAGTGTCATGGATATTTAAGGACTTTTGTTTCCCAGTCGCTGCTCTTAATTAGTGACGGAAGGAAGTTTAAGTCGACAACATGTCGTTCCTGTGTCTTGCTCTTTCTGCCCAAAATTTACCAAACTGTTCTTAATTTTCCCCGGCTCTCATGCACAAAATTGCTCGTAGCAGACTGGTATGTAAATTTAGAATGATTTCTTCGAAATTATAGAATTGCTCCCACCTTCTTCCTGTTTCTCCAACCCCGCCCCTCAAAACCCCCACCCCGGGGCCTGTTTCTCGAAAGTCCCGGTAACTTTCGGGAACGCAAGGCTGTTTTATTTCTGCCTTGTTTGCATTGAAGATCAACGTTTTTAAAGTTTTGATACAATGAAACGATCATTTAAAGAAATAAAATTGACTGGTTTGTGAGCTAGAAACCGTGTTGACATTCAAAAGATTTTGATTTTAAAATTTGCCTTCGGGCCCGCAAAGTTTCCGGGCCTTTTGAGAAAAAGGCCCCTGGATTCCCTCCTTTCTCGGAGCACAGTCCTGTGCTGTGCTATGTCAACCGAAATTACACAGCTCAACGTCATATCCGACATCTTTTGATCACGCTGTTTCCTTTATAAACTACAGACTTCCGATCAGCGATATCTTTCTTTTGTCCGAACTACACGGAATTCAACATCGTCTCTACTTTCTTGCTGAGAGAAAAAATTACTGTCTTCCTTTCTATGAATTTCACTTACATCTTCCGTAGCGTGATTCTAGCCATCGTTTTTTAGTCCAATATATTTTTAACAATGATAAAATACCCTCAATACTTTGCGTGGGTTGACGGTTCAGTCAGTCTATAATTCCCCTCAGGAAAATGATTCGTTTGGTTTAAGGTAAGCCTTCCGAAATTTCAATTTTCAAGCTCTTTACTCTCCGGTTGTTGTGAAAGCGAGGAGGAGGAAATCGTGAGCGTGCAAATCATTTTAAATCAGTATGATTTTCAAATGTTTGATATTAAAAACCCCCGTCTTCTTTGGCTTCTTTGCTGGTGGCCGTGGCATAAGCTTCCTGAGTGATAGCAACTCAATGTATGGGAACCAGGCAAAAGCAGCAACAACAACAACCACAACTAATCTTTTTTATACCATCAGTAAGATTTGTGCAGAAAAATTATCAACAACCACAAACCATCAGCATGGCTGGTATCATACATTCATCGATTGTGACCTTAAATATCAAGAAGTCAGTTATACTCTAGACAATGCTGCTACACCTGCTGAAGGTTATTATTATTACAATGTATTACTGGTTTTTTGCCAATCGCTTGAGTCAAATCAGAGCTTTCGCTTTCTCTAATTCTTGAGTGCTTTTTCGGCTTTTTTGTCATAATCACACAGGCAATTTTAACTTCTTTTTGGCTTGAAGAATTTAGGTTTTGTACAACCGAATGTGAAATGACGTTTCCGGCGATCAGTTCTCTGGCCTCCGGTCATTTTCAACTTCCGTCCTCCGTGTTTCCTTTTAGAGCAGCTAGCGAGATCTTAAAACTGCCTAAATTTTCGCTTCAGCAGTAGTAACGTGTCACTGCTGCTTGCCGCCAACGCTTTTGGACTCCTTTTGAGAGTAATCATTAGGAAAAAGAACGATTTTACCAGCCAGAAGCGAACCTGAGCAATTATTGTGCTTTGTTCTCCCCCATCGCAACTACAGTGGCCCCGTTAGTCCGCCGTCAGCGTGAAAATTAGATCATTTTATGATAATTTTAAAGAGTTCCTTACGACTCAGTCATACATCGACTACATCTATATGCCATGCCGAATTTTTGTGTACCTCAGTTGGGCCAGAACGTCTTCTTTTATAAAGGCAGGTATTTATTTTAGACATTTTTGCCGTATTACTACTTAATCAGGAGCGTATCACCCTGGAATTTCCGTCGGCTACTTATAAG